AAGGAAGTCATATAGTAACGCCGATGCAATTTCACAACACCTGAACCCTCCGGAACAATGTGATCTTACTGATGATGAGTATATTGAATATTTGTTAATGAGCATTAGTACTGAAAATCAGAAATTAAATGACTTGAAGGCAATAACGTATTATTTGAAGTTATTTAGCTAGACATCTCACGTGACGAATCAAGATCTCTGGTGATTGAATCCAAAGTTGAGAAAATATTGCCTGATAGATGAATGACTATACTGACGATTAGTCAAAAGAAGGCCACCAAGGCGTGTGATTTTTGATCCCGTTGAAAAGTGAACAATAGTAAGGGCAAATTATGAAGGAATAGATGGGGAAGTGGATACCGAGAAATTAACAGTTGTGTTAGAAAGATTTTAATAAGTTATGAGTGGGCATCAGGTGATTTATATAAAGATATTAGGAGTCACGTGATGTCTTGTATAATTTGTCAGAAATACGAATGCAAAGTTAAAAAGACCCTATTTATGTTATAGCAACGAGTTGGATTTTTCATTAACTGTTTATAAACTGCATAAGAACAATGCATTATACCAGTACCAGACATGAACATATCATTGTGGCTGTAGAGGATTTGACTGGCTTTGTTGAAATCGAAAAGGATGGAAGGTAAAAATCGGTTGTTGTTGTTAGTTGAAAGCATGATCGGATTAGTTGTTGAAGTGGTGAAGAGTTTGAAGAAACGAAAGATAAAAGAAAAATGCTACAGACCTCAGCTGTGTTACGTTTGTCGACGTCAAGGACATTTGGCCCGTTCTTGCCCAGATCAAGTGAGACGTATATGTCAAGAGCAAGTTATGGACGTACGGTTTATGAGGATTAGTGATCCCAAAGTCGATAATAAAGAAGATGGAAGTCAAACCGAAAAAGGTAAAAATGGAATGATTATTAATGGGACTGAGGATAAAGCAACACAGATAAGAAATAGAATCATACCTGTGGAATCCTTTAGGAAAAGAGTCGAATTGAACAAGCCGAAAGATGCTGAAATTGACGCTGAAAAGAATAAACATAAGCCATTCATTCATTATCAGAGATCAGCAGAGACGGAAAGTGCTGAAGGAACTGGAACTGGAAAAAATGAAAGTGCAGAAAGAAACGAACGCAAAATCGGCATTGAAAAGTCTGCGGGTATGAATCTTGTGGGTGGAACCTTCAATCTTGGAAACTGTTGATGGACTGGATTAGGTGTTGAAAAGGGTGACAAGAAGGCTTTTGAATGCATTTTGAAGTCTGTTGAATACGGAAATCGAATTGACATGGATAAAAAGAATCCTGCTGATAAAGGTAATGATAGTGGAACATATACCGTTGGGTATTGTTATGAAAAAGGGAATGGAATTAAAAGAAGCAAAAACAAGGCACCTATTTGTTATCGGAAATCTGCTGAAGATGACAATCTAAAAGGACAATTCAATGGCAAATTCTGTTGTTGAAGTGGCATAGGCAAAGCCACTGATGAAAAGGGCGTTGAATCCAGAGGATCTAGCTCTGATGGTAGAGCTGAAGTCTGTTCTAATGATGGAATTAGAGTTAAAATGATTGAACAAAGGGCTTTCGCTTATCATCAAGGTAGAATCAGTGGTTATAGATGTTATTCAAGCCTGTGGCTTGATCGTTATTAGCATAAGAAATGTAAGCATCGATAAATGTTTTTTAAATTTAATAAATTTAATTTTCTTTGTATAAAATTACTTATTGTTATAACAAACCACCATGACGTCAAGTAAAGCACTGCGAATTGGCATGACATTTACTAATATGGAAGATGTTCGTTCAGCTGTTGAAACTTCGCCTTATAAATAATTGTGCTAGTTTAACGCTATTTTTTATACAGTATTTAAAAGCGAAAATGATATAACCAGCGCTTCATTTATCCTTAAATCTAATCGGTGTATAGATAACTCTAAATGCCTATAATAAAGCAATTGATAATCTTATAATCACGATTTTGCAATCGTTATACTACCAAAATCCTGCTGATGTGAATGATGTTAATAAAATTTATAATGATGGATACTACAACGTTGATGGAATTAGTGTCGATAAAGATGATAATTCGTATGAACAACATGTTCTTGAACGTTGTAATAATAAAGGAATAGACGCCAAAGGCGATAAACAGAAGGCATTCACGTATTATCAAAAACTCGCCAATATGGGTAATGCTGATAAGATGAATAAGGTTGGGTATCATTACCAAGATCAACCGATGGTCGTGATGGATGCACCATTGGACGTGGTGATGAAAATAGATGCTATGATGAAAGATTTTCTGGAATCGTTGACGGAAACCAAGATTGACAGTAACGATGTAAACAATGAAAATAATAAAATCAAGGAGTATGAAATGGGTGGTGAGGAAAAGCAAGAAGATGCGATAAGGAAAGTGATTGTTAATAAAAGAAGAAACGAAGAGACGTGTGGAGTAAAAAATAAGAATATTGAAAACATACTCATGAAAGGTAATGAAACAGCCCAGAAGGTCAAACCTAATCTAGTATCTGGTGATGAAGACGTTGAAAAGGATGAATTCGAAGCATTCACCTGTTATCAGGAATCTGCTTACATGAATGATGCTGATGATGCATCTATTGTCGGACATTGTTATTGAAAAGGGACTGATGTTAAAAAAGATGAAAACAATGCACCTGAATGGTATCTGAAATCAGTTGAAGGTGACAATCTGGGACATTGCCATCAAAATGATGTAGGTTCCAGTAAGGATGACGAAAAGGCATTTGAACGAAACTTGAAGTCTGATAAAAGAGTATATATGGCCGATGAAGTTAAGGTCAGTTCTGATGAAAGCGCTGTTGAATTTGAAAGGGATGACTTGAGGAAGTGTAGGAAGACAATGAACAATATGGCAGTAATGAATTGTCACGTTAAACGTCTCATGTGGTTGTCTAATTTAAGCCAAAAGCCCAATGACGGTGAAAATCGTAGCATGATTAGCGTCAGTCAAGGTAAATGGAATGCTGTAAATGATAAACAAATCACGTTGGGTCGTTATGAAAAAATGGAATTCTATAAACGTTTGTACTTGGACCATATGATCGGCTGCGATAGTGTGGAGCATGCGATATTTGGAAATCGAATTGACATGCATGTGGGTGTGGAATGTTAGTGAAAAAAAAAAAAAAAAAAATTTTTAGTATATGTACTAATTGAACAGTGTATTGTATTATTAGTATTAGCTTTGTTGGTGATTAGGGATGGGTTCGGTCGGCTTGTAGTCGGCTAGCCGACCGACTATAGCCGTAGTCGATAATAGTCGACTATAG